CATTTCTTTTATTGCCATATAGTTCTGTTACTAGCTCTTCACCTGGTGTTTTTGCACTGTTGCAGTACTTATTGATATTCTAGAAATGATCATTATTTGGTTAATTTAATGTTATAAGCATAATGCACAAAGTAGAAAGCGTATCAAGGTGTATTGAATAGCTTCAGGTATTTTACGTGAATTAAAGAAATGCAATTCTATTTTACTTGCAGATATGGAAAGAGCTTGACTGTCGTGTTACTGATTCTGCCAATGAAGCTAAGGATAATGTTAAGTTCCTGTACACATTGGAGAAGTTCTGTGAACCACTCTATCATTCAAATCCAGTATGTACATTTAATATGTGTCCATTATTTTTGTAGAATAAAACAAATATGTTGTGCTTGGTTTTGACACAAGTAACCTGCTTATGTTTTTCACGAGTGCCTTTTATTTGCAGATTGGTATGGTGGAATGCATTCCAAGCCTTATCAATGCTATTCGGATGATCCACAGTATCTCCCAGTACTACAACACATCAGAAAGGATGACTTCATTATTCATTAAGGTATAGTATTTAATCTCAAGTACTGTAGGTATGCTACAGAGGTCAGGTTCACACGAGAGCCCTAGTATCCGGATCGTGAGCTAACCGTTAGCGCTAACTGTTAGCACCCGTATGAGAACACCTGATCGCTTAGCGCTAACCGTTACCAGGATCTGGATATGCTAACGGTTAGGAAGCGCTATCGGTTAGCAAGTTAAACGCATTTCTATCATTAACCATTCATACGTACGTATTCCTAATTTCCAGTTTCCTATTGGCCAGTGATCCCACCGTCATCTTCTTGGTATCTGGGTCGGGGATTTTCTTGTATGAACGCATGGGTGAGCGCGTATGTTTGTAATCCGAATCCTGCTAACCATTAGCTTCTGTGTGTGAACATAGCCAGTATCTTTTAATGATATATACAGTAACAATAATAATAGTATGGTTAAATTCTTTCACAAATGATTCAATTTTCCAACATTGAGGATGGAGTTTCAATCCCTGTTTGTGTATTTCACATGAGTTCTTGAGCTAGATGCTTTATCTGCATTGCTTCTCTCCACCCAGGAATGTAAATGGCCAAGTGGTTGGGTTACCTGCTGCTTTGCCGATATGGCAGCAGCAATGACCAGGGATTTAAAAAGAAAAAATGTTTCATATCCCCTTGGGAAAAGTGCTATACAAGTAACTAGTAACCAGCAAAGTCCAAATAAATCAAAATACAGTACCACATTTTTTGCGAAATATATCATATATTCATGCATTTGTGTAATTGTTTAAATATAAATAGTTTATATCATACTGTTATGCCATGAACGTGATGATACATGATACATATATTATAAGCCATGAACGTGATGATACATAATGCATATATTATAATTGGGTTTGATTTATTTTCTCTATGTTATCTTGCATACTGTCAATTCAGGTCACCAATCAAATGGTTACAGCATGCAAACATTTCATTACAAACAATGGAATGGATCGTATTTGGGACCAACCTTGTGCACCACTTATTGGAAAACTGAAGGCGTCAATGCAGCTGTACAAAGAATATCAGAAAAGCTTTCATAAGACCAAGAAAAAGATTGATGAAATACCAGGGGAGCGTCCATTTGAGTTTTCTGAGATGTACAT